TCTCACGACCGATGCCTAGCTCTCGTGCTATCTCTCTAACACTCACATGAGGATTTTGGAACACGATTTCCTTTGCCTTTTCAATGTTTTCGTCGGTGGTAGAGGTCGAAGGTCGTCCAGAACGCGGCATGTCTTCGACGGTCGTACGACCGTCCTGAAAGGCTTTGTACAACTCATAAACTTGAGTTTTCGATAAAACTGATTCCCCATAAGCCTTTTGTAGCATTCGCAACGATTCTGCACACGAAATTTCGTTCGAAACACAAAATTGGATGCAAACTCTTTGTTCAATATTTTTTTCCATTGTTTTTTTCGCAACGCACTACTGAGGTGAACTGGTTTCAACAGCTGCCGTAAACGAACTGTCTGACAGATCGCGCTCATTTTTGGAGTAATTAAGGACAGTGCTGCCAAACTACATAAACTTAAAATATCGAAAAATATACAGCGCGCGAATTTTAAATGAGAACTTCCGAAAGAGATCACTCAACACCAGAATAGCTGAGCATATGTCGGACATCAACAAGAACAAAAACAATACAGCTCTATCTCAGCATTGCACCGAGAGACAACATAAACCGGATTTCGACAATGTAGTAATATTGGACAAAGAGAAATCTTGGAAAAAACGGTACACTCTCGAAAGCTTAAGAATTCAAGAGAAAATTAACTTAACTATGAACATCAAAGAAGATACGGAGAATATAAGCTCTAATTACATTGCTGCTCTAATATAAACAAAATCGAAAGTGGCGGTAACTTGAAGCAGTTGACTATAATTCTATAATTTTATAAAACTTTTAATATTTATTCCTAACTTTTAATTTTTTATTTACAAAAAGTGATTTAACTTAATTTCAATTCTAACTATTGGTAATTATTATTATTAAATAATTCTAAAATCCTGAATGGATAATTATTACTTTTGATTGTTTTGCTATTATTGTTGTTGTTAGTCATTTTGTGTACATGTTTCTCTGTTTATACAATATCACAAATTATATTATATATATATTTTCGCATTGTGTTTTGAAATCATAATTATTAAATAAAAAATATTTTAGATACCCCTGAAGATGTTGGAAAATAACCAACGAAACGTCGGGTGAAAAATGAAATAAATTGAATTTTATTTGCATCCTAATAATAAGACCAGAGTAGCCTAAAGAAAATTCTAACTAAAACAATAAAACGGACTGGTCAAAAATTCCATTATTAATAAAATGATAAAGTTTTTAAATAAAATGCATATCAAGGACAAAGCAATTATCAACCCGAGTGACACTGTCCAATACTAAGCAATTATCATGTCAAAAGTTTATTATAAATCACAGTGGAATATATATAAAACTATATTGTAGAACAAATTTCGTTTAATTCGATATATATGTTAAAGACTATTCTTAATATTCACATAGTTATATATAGTGGCAAACAACACTTTTTTAAGCGCCTATTAAGTTTCTTACATACAATATACTATATGTTATATGAAAAAAATGAATCATTTCATGTACATATAAGAATCTATAAAATCTTGAAATTTTTGTTAGAAATTGTTTGTTAGAAAGTATTTGTTCTTTTCTTCTCTTTCTTGGTTTGCTGTGAGTCTCCAAAACGAACATTTATTGGCTCTTCCAAACATACTGTTATTTGTGACCAACCGCAACTTCATATAATCGAACATGTTGATATTATATGTCTATAAGTCAATATTACACAGAGCTTTAAACTGAAATTACCATCATTCATTAATATACTTTTTCAATTACTTCGAGTACAATTATCTAATACCTGCATTTATTTGAGCAATAAATACATATACATCTCTCTTTTGTTCTAAATTTTGATGCAATATTTTAAAGGTTTTTTTAAACCGGAGAGGAGGCAGCCACTGCTACACCTGTATTCATTTAAAGCATTCTAGAGTTCTAGAATAAGTAGTAAGTCCTATCATCGCAGCCCTACTTTCGTGAATCATCGTATCAATTTTATAGATAAGACTATGAAAGTTAATTAGTTCTTCACGACTTAAACAGTAGTTGCGCGAACTATAACATATCTTTTTTTATTTTTCATGGAAAGATAACAATGGTACCTATTGACGACACTGTATTCACTTTCTCCAAAATTAATAAGACTTTTATATTCTTAAATACTTAAAATGTCGTACCATCTTCAGACCTTATTTGTAGATGCGCTACTCATGGATAAACTATTTAAACTGAACAAAATTGTGAGCTGATTCATAATAATAATATACAATAAATTATTAAAAAATAATATACAACTATTATGAGTCAAAAGATTTATTGTGCAATGAGCTACGATATCCTCTAATTCTGATGTGAAATTGATTGCTTGCTTTACCATTACTTAATCATGAAACCTACATTAATATGTTTTAAAGTACATACTGAGAATTAAATAATACTCAAAACCGTGGTAATAAAAAAAACTTAAATATAGCACACTAATCCCAAGATAATAACATCATAATATATATCATAAAAGAAACTTATAATAAAATTAGATTCTTTTACAAATTGTTAGGAGCAGATTTCACTGTGATAACACAAACTAACACAAAAAGTAAAATAATTTTAAATTTAATGAAAGGAATAAAATAAAGTGTGATTGCGTTTATTAAATATAAACATAAAAGTAATTCGAGTTTATATATTATATACCCAAGCATTTTTAGGAAATAAACAAATTCATTGCAATATGAGATTAAACTAATTATAAATGGAATTAAAGTCATATGGAATAATATTACATTTCATTGACTGATTATAATTTTCATATTTTTGATTAGTCAAATCTAGTTGCTCTTATTTTGTCAGTTTATGAGTCGCAGACCAAAATGCATTTCAACTTTATGAAAATTAGCATTTATGAAATTATTTGATGACAAATTTTAATGAAAGTTTTGTCATCCACAGAAGATTGAAATAAATAAATCAATTAAATATTGTTCCATCACAAGTGTTCCATCACTATCAACTGAATTCCATTGTACACACATATACTTATATAGGTACCAAATAATATATATGTAAATGAAATAATTTTATTTGATTTCATCGGCCTATAATAAAATAAATTTATGTATATTAAATTTTTTTTTGAATATATCATTTATTATATACAATTATCTCATGTAAGTCAACTTACAACAACAAAGGAAATTTCAAACTCTAAATTTTCCATCTTTAACAGCTGGAAAAAAAGTGATGTTAATTTTTATTAACACATCGAGTTTCTAAATCTTAAACGTAGTAACGTTGAATGCC